GGAAAGATTCCTCTGAAAATAAATGGGACTTGATAGATTTCCATATCATTTATAACTTCCCTTAATTACACTTGGAAGACTTGCCAGTAAAACTGGAAAATTGGCAGCCTATATCCATTATAGTAATTTTGCCGACCATGGCAAGCAGCTGGCTTTACTGGATTTTATTTCCCATCACTCACAATTAATCATCAGCTGGAGATGTCTGAAACTCCTCAAAACGTAGCAACACTGTGTGACATTCAGGCCTCCTTAAAATGCTAAAATCTGCTGAGTAAATGGGCTGAGTTCCCCTTCCAGCGAACTCCTTTTGGTGCAAGGCAGGCTGCCGGTTAATGAGTGCCACTTCGATAATCGGATGCGAATGTGAACCCTGACCTCATGTCAAAGGAGAGGACGCAGCAAGCTGGATAAAAGATACGGGGTTCAGATCTACAAACTTTACACCAATTAGACAGGGAGCGGGGAAATACATCAGCGCCGATTGGGTTTATCAGAAAGACTTGCGGGGCTTGTGACCACTTTGTAAGCCTAACATTGAAGACGTCCTGTCACAATCATTAAGTCTTTATCAGATGACGCACAAAAGTCCGAGGAAAGGCTACCATATTCTCAAAGATCCCGCCGTAGCGATGCCCTCGGGTGTGCGCTGTCTTTTTGTGTCGCTGAGTTTCAAAGCGACCCGTCCGTAAAGCGCAATTAGTCTCCGCGGTCCTCCTGTAGGTGCGGTGGAGACGGCGGCGCGGGGCTGCTGCTGCTTCTCACATTCGGCCGCTTCCACCCCGTGCTTGGCCGGGAAATGACTGGAGACAGTTCCCTGTCCTGTGGGTAACCTCTCGGTCAGAGGAGATCGCCGGCACCGTGCGGTCCCCCGGTTATTCAGACAGCCCTACTGACTGTTCCCCAATCCACGTCAGAATTGTTAGTAACATCAAGATGTCAAGTACCCTCCCCTGCAGTGATTTCTTTTCTGCTTTCTTGCTTGCTTGCTTTTTCTTTTTTTTTTCCCCTCCCCTTTTTTCCTTTTCACTCTATGGGGAACAAAACTGAGCAGATACTTTGAACCGCGCCATGCGGAAATAAACCACTAAAATACAGACCGCAGGTCTAATGGTTAATTGCTCATTTATTTTGATTTTCCAAGCAATGTAAAGATAATTTTATCTGCAGCGTAACTCTGTCAGAAAGATACCCAAGTTTAATTTCCTTTAAGTAAAGGAGCCCTTTTATTTTACTTGGTTCCAATCAGTCAGATTTTTTGTTTGATTTTATTTGCCTGTTTTGACAGATTTGGGTCATTGCTGAGACCTCTCTAAACTGAAATGTAAAGATGGTGCCTCACATTGGTTTACCATGCTCTGAAAGAAAGAAATTTTACCATGAAAATGCAACATTAAAAATGGCCATTAAAACACCATTAAAAATGGAGTTTCAGACATCTCCATCTGATGATTAATTGTGAGTGATGGGAAACAAAATAAGTTAGAAAGCAAGAACTTGTTCACATTGCTGCAGTTTACATTTGCAGGCTAAATAGCAGGCAAAAGGATATGTGCAATTACGGAATGAAAGAAATTGGACAATGCCCCAAAAGACTGAAAAAGAGAAAAGAGAGATACAAGTGCCTAATTTTAGGATTTGCTGCTTTGCAACACAATAAGTGGAGCCGTAAAGGTTTAACATAAGAACAGTAATTAAACTTCTGTGCTTAAGCGACACTTTCACCAAGGTAATTTTCAACAAATTGCACATCATCAGGAGTACTGACACAGCAGCATTTTCACACGTGGTAGCTGCTGAAAGTGCCTCCTTCCTTCCAAATTAGTAACCTTAGATGTTAACGGGATAGTTTGTCTCTATATTTTGTGGGTCGGGGAGCTGTTTGCTTCCCAGACACCACTTCCTTTGTCATCAACCCAGCAGGTTATTTCATAAACCACAAAAACTTTATATTTGAGAAAGTGAGGAAACAGAGGAAAAATTCAGATCCATGGACATTTCCATCCTACAGCTAGTACTTCTTGGTATTTTAACGCTGTATTTAAGAGCTGCAGAAATAATTCTGTGTTTTTCCAGTAGCTGTATTTCCAGAACTCTGGTTTAGATAATTGCAAACAGGTTCATTTGCACACCGCCCACCTGATGAAGCCGTGTTACAGCTGAATCGCACTGGGACTCAAGAGAAGTTCCTTGTGCCCTTGAAATTAGGCCACTCAATTAAGATCTGCACTCCTTAACATCTCAGTCTTCAGCAACCTTTAGAGAGGCCCATGTTCTTGGTGCTCTGATAGCTGAGTTAATTGGAGGGTGGCAAATTTATTTCTGAAATATGCTGTTAAAAACCTAACACCTCCAAGAAACATTCTTGAGTTTTTAAAAAAAAAATAAATGCAACAAAACAAACAGAAGCAGATCTTCATAGCTTTCTCTTAACTTCAGAAACGTCTGGAAAGTTCAGAGGAGATGGAAGAAAAGCTGAGCAGTGAGATAGGGAGAAGAGGGGAAAAGGAGCAAGAAAGGAAAGAAAGAGCTGCTGGGACAAGGCTACAGGCGGAGCAGCAGGTGTGGAAGGAAGGAGACAAAAGACGGAGAAAAGGAGCAGAGGGGAAATAACTGGGGACAAAGAACAAGTCTTTGATACTATTCACCAGATTTGACACTGCTAATGACTTAAATGCTTGCCTGAAGCTTGGGATGAAGTTTCTGCAGGCGAAGTGTTGGGTGTTGGTTATTCTGTGTATCCGGTTAGTACACCGTGTTCCCATAGCAAACGCTTTCCGTATTTACCTCAAAAAGCCCGTCCTGTTGGAGTTGGCAGTCTGCTGGAGGAAGCGGGTGTGTGTAAGCACCTTTTAACGTAACGTCTTTTCTTCTGTCTTGCTCAGAATCCCTAGGCGGACATCAGTGTTTTTCAGTCACTGCTAGTGCACGCTTTAGGAAAAAACTTCTATATTTAAATTTTCAGAATGTACTTCATGCAATGTATGTTTGATCTCTGACTTCACACCCGTCTTTTAGGCAGTATATTCCTCCAAAGTGGTACGCACTTGCCCTTAAATACGTGTTTATTCATTTCACGTATACTTAGAGAAATATGTGTGTATATGTGTATTTATATAAACAGACACATTTTGAGGGCACTGGCACATGTAACAACACATAAACCAAATCTCTGCAGGTCTCAAATTACCCTCTTTAATGAAATTTTGACATCACAGGGAAAGCATCCCAAATTTGCTTGGATAATTGAGCAAATGGCACAGACTGCATCTGCAAGAGAGCCTAACTTGCAGTGGGTACTCGGAGCCGGGCATCCCAGAGGGGTTGTACCTGTGCAAGTCCTAAATACTGGCACGTAAGGGCCCAGCGCCCTTCCCTCTCCAGAATAAATCATCTTCTTGGGGTGACTGGCTGATCACCGGGTTACACGAGGGAGAAATTCCAAGTCCCATGTTTTTCCTCTCATGTATCAGCAGCACCCACAACCACTGTAAAGCCTCGAGCGGCTGTTCCCTCTGCACCGCGTGCTCCAAGGTGTCGGAGGGAGCGTCTGACTGGGGGGCACAGGGATCCCAGCAGAGCAGCCCAGTGGGTTACTGGTGACCTTGAGCTCGCACGTGCCTGTTAGCAGAGTGCAAACCAGCAGAAAGAGGAAACTTGAATGTTTCCCTTTAAGAGCTGTGAGCTATGGTGAAAATGATGAGTTTGCCTCCACGATGCCCCTCCGGTGGACAAGGGGTGGTGGTTCCTTGATGCCTCTCCCATGGACAAGAAGTGGTAGTTCCTTGATGCCTCTCCTGTGGATGAGGGCTGGTGGCTCCTTGCAGGCGTGCTCCGGATGCCGTCAGGTGCTGTAATGTGCAGAGCTGTGACTTTCTGCTCAGCATTCGCCTGTTGGGCTTCCAGCCTGTGCTCCCCTGGATGCATGCCAAGAAACTTTTGCCTTCTGAATCAGGATTAGTATCTGCAAGATCTGCGCCAGGGAAGCAAAGCAAAGGCTCCCTGGCCAAAACTGCACAGATTAAACTTTGCTCTGGATCTAATGTTGAACTGTGATAGATGTGAAATGCAAACTGTAGAAGTTAGAGCTGAATAGCTGGGCGTGGAGAGACCTTTCAGGTTAGTTTGGGGTAATAGTTTCAGGTAGGTGTTTCTTTTTTCCCTGTGTGTTGCTGCTGATATATCAAAGGCAATGGGGATTTGTGATTGTGGTTTGTGTTGTGACTGCGTAGCTGGCTGATTTGACTTGTGCCATGCAAGTCTTTTTAGCATTTAATGAAATAATCTCTTTATTTTTTAGAAGAATCATACACACTTAGAGCATTACAAATCCCCTATCCTCATTTTGTACTGCTTTAATTTTACCAGGTTTCAGAAGGTCAAGAGATTTGCGTAATTGAAGCAATGAAAATGCAGAACAGTATGATTGCTGCTAAAACAGGCAAGGTAAGCTACCTTGGGTCACTTAAAACCATATGCAACTGTCAAATAAGATAGAATTTTAAAAAGGAAAAAAGGAGGATTCTGGTTGTTAAGGAATTAAGTCTGATTGTTGTAAGTCTTTCGAAGTGAGGTGTCTTTAATTTTTAACATTTGCATCTGCTGTGAATGCTGTTAAGTAGTTCCGAGCCTTAGATAGCACAGCAGGAAATAGTTTTACTGGCTTCAGAAATTCATATAACTCTCTTTCTTCTAAATGATTTGTTTTCTATGATGTTACAATGCCAAGTTGAATTGAAAGGTATTGCAGACTGTTTCTCCAAATTCCATCTGTCCAGAGAGCAACCGAAGAAGAAAGATCTCTTTGCCAATTAATTAATTAATGGCAAACAATTTGATGTTAAAAACCCCCACTCAGAGCAAGGCATAGAAAATGCTTTTGCTGGAAGATGGGGAAAGCACTTTTTTATATTGCGACTGTTAAATGTGAAGCCTAGATCTGCAAAATGCCTTGAAACCATCGCCTGGACACGGGCCCCTGGGCCCTCCTTCTCGAAGGGGGAGCAGAGTCTGGATCTGGGTTATGTATTCTCTTCTATCGCAGATTTCCCAGCCTGTCCTAGCCCTTCTCTGCTGGGGGACAAACCCCTCTGCTCTCCCCGAAGCACTGCTGTTTTGCTGTTAAAACCAGCAAAAGAAACCCCTTAGCCCGGAGGGAGGCAGCAAGGCACCTGGCTCCTCGGGGCAGGAGGGAGGTTTTGCCGCTGGCAAGGTTTGCTGGGACCTCAGGATGGGTCTCTGTGCCAAGGACTGTTTGTGTGTTTACAAGAACGGCTTATTTGGCACAGCACTAACACCGCCACCAAGGCTGGGACCCAGGGCTTGCCTCTTCCAGGGTGTCTAGTGCAAAATCGGGTCTCGACAGGGAAAAAAATTGCAGAGAGAGAGAGAACGTACGTTCTCTAGTTGCTCTGACATTGCCACTTTATTATTTTCTTTCATGCGTTAATTCCTCTATGATTTATTTTCTTTCTTGATTAGTATTTCCTAAGATTTATTTTTTCATCCTTGCTTCTTTCGTTTAATCCCTTATTGCTGCTCTCTTCACCTACTGATATTAACTTGTGAGTATTTGCAATTAAAATGCCATTCCCCTCTTCCACCTCTTTTATTTTTTACATTAACCCTCCCCACCAAGGTGTGCTGGAACCCTTGGGCCTGTTCCCTAAAATCCTGCTTGTACTTCCCCCAATAATAAATGTCTCCCACTCATTTGGTACAGATGCCATGTAAAATCCACATTTGGCTGATTAATCCCTCGTAGTGGGATGTGAATGGTGCACAGGCCATTCAGTGGGCCTGACATACACCTTGCAATGTCCCCTTGACGTTTCCCTTTTAATAATAAGCAAATCACTTAGTTACTTAGAATTTTAAGAATTTGAAAAATCAAAGGAGTTTTGGGCTGTGTAGAAATGAAGGCGCTAAACAGAATTCATCCTCTTCTGCAGTGCAAAGTCATGGCTCTGAGTGCTAAAATAACTCGGCGCCTGCACAGGAATGGGATGCTTGGCACTGGCTGTTAGTCCACGTTTTGATGCTTTGAAACCATGTTTTTGAAACTCAGTTCGTTTATCTTCAGCTGGAAGACGATCTCCATCTTCATTCCCAGCTGAATTCCTTTTCTGCATCAAACTCCATTTTCCTGTTTGTAATTGTGAGAAAAGTGGCTTGTGGTTTTTTTTTAATCTACTTTTGAGTTTACTCCAGCTGCAGGTGGTTTAAAAACGAGGGAAAGATGGAGAGGAGCTGGCGTGCCGCCTGTCTCCTACGGGACAGCTGCGCGTGGGTTGGGGTAGGGAGCCGGCCCCGCTGCGAGTCAGAAATCGCTGGGGAGTTTGAAACACTGGTCAGCTACAGGGTTTGCTGAACCTTGGCTTTGCAGAAAAAGGAAAGAAAGATTATTTTTCATAGTGCTTTCATCTCTGAAAAGATTGTGACTTGGGGACGGGGCAGGCTATCGATTTAGAAACAACGTCCTTTTTTGTACAGTCTCACGGTGCCTTTGCCTGTGTACGATGTTCAGCTTAGTTTCTCGTGTGATGCCAGGAATGTGCCTGTGCTGCAGAGACCTGCTTACAAGCTCATGTGGCTTTAGACCATCAAACTCAGGTGTGGGCAATGGTGCAGCCATAGTAGTCTGATATTTTGTGTACAGCTGCAGGTTTCCTTTAGGAGCCGAAGGAAATGCTTGGATGGCTAAACTAAGTCTGAACAAGGTTTTGACCAAGGATTTGGGCATGAGCTCTGAATTAATATTGCAAGTACACTTAATACATGGATTCAAATACCTGTTGGGGCTCCATATGCTGAAAGGGACTGCAAACACATTACAGCCTTTTTATAGAGGAAATGAGGGACTAGTGTAAGATGTTTGTGTTTGAAAATTCAGGAATTGGCACATGAGTATATAATTCATCTACAGATGTAGTTGCATTTATCTGATAGCAGTAGTTCTTTGCCAGGTTCTGTGATGCTAAAGGATCCCAGTTCAGATTTGAATCAATCTGTCCCAACTGTCTGGGGATTGAGGGAAACCCACTTCGTGGCTGCAGTCCCAAAATTTAATTATACTTAAAATCTGTAATGCAAGAAATACTGGAATATTTCATTCATGTCCAAGGGTGAGTGTTGAACAGTCAGTCTGTCTTGTAAAAGATTTAAAATTTAGTAGTAAATGAGAAGCAGTGCAAAGAGGTGGAAGAAAGGTGCTTTTTTTAAAAAAAAAAAAGACCTGATGTTCAGGTCTTCAAGCACCTAAACTGTTAAGATAATGAGCTAGAGGTGAGTGCCTAAATACCTGGAGAGAGCTGAGCATGGTTTGGTCAAGCACTGGCAAGGTGGTGGAATCTCCATTCTCAGAGACACTCAAAACTCAGCTGGACTCTGAACACGGGAGGTTGAGCTGCCAACCTCTCCAGGCCTCGCCAGCGTACAGGCATCTGTGATCCCCATGGTGGTCATCACGTGGCTTAGTGGCCATTTACCCTGTGTGTACAGATGTGACCCTCTAGATAAGCAATGGCAACCACACCACTGAGGAAGGTTTGAAATAACCTCCCTGCCCATGACAGGGAGGTTGGATTAGATGATCTCTAAGGTCCCTTCCAACTTAGGCCATTCTATGATTCTATAATTTCTGTTTCTGTACCGTAGGTGAAAGCTGTGCACTGCAAAGCTGGTGATACCGTTGGAGAAGGAGATCTGCTGGTGGAACTGGAATGAAAGGTTTCCCTCCACACTGTTGAATTAACTAAGCCTTTATTATTTTAATCCGTAAAGTAAGATTAAGGCAATTCAACACAGAAAATGGACAGTCCTATGTGCAAGATTTTACACAGTTGTATTTATTGTATCAGTGGTTAAGACAGCAAACACAGATGTTAAACCTTGGCAACAGATCCCAGATTTTTACTTCCAGAAATACTTGTACATAACCTTTGTAATTCTTTGATTTTTCAGGATCAAATAAAATTAATAAAATACCTTTTCTGCTTTAAAACAGGAAAAGTGTCCCTTTTTTTTTTTAAAAAAAAAAAGAAAACACAACAAAAGCCTGAATCCGATTAATCTTCTCTGTGGTAATATCACTAGTTTGAGGGTCCAGCCAAATTGTACAGAATGGCTGGTAAGAGTCAAAAAAGAATCACTCAGTGATTAACCCAGCGCTTTTCCTATGCTCTATGTAAGCGCTGAACAAGTGCTGCTGATGGCTTTGATTCTGATCAGATGTGTGGCAATATTTTGAAGCCTTTCTATAGACCAATTTAAATAACAAGTTAGATGTTTTGCTGATGCAGACTTTCCCCATGTGTTTTCATTTACAGCTGTAAGGGAATTTTCTTCTTTTATTCAGACTCCATAGTCATTATCCCGCCACCTTTTTATTAATTACTGGAAGGAATTCTTTACAGAAGGAGCTGGCACTGTCCTTGAATTCCTTTAGCCACCCCAAGGTCTTGCTGGAGGCACTCACTGTCCCTTAGGCCAAGCCCTCTCCTGAACTCTTACAGGAAAGGGAGACCAAGTGTCTGGTTTTCTGTTGTACAGAGGCTCTTACCATAAAGACTGTGTGAATAATTAGGACTGTATCCTGCTGGAAGAGTTGTGCATCCAGTGTGTGAAACCACAGAAGGCCTGGAGAGGAGGAAGATTTAAAAACCTTGAAGTGAGAGGTGACTTGGTTAGAACAGGTAAGAAGATGTCTATTTTTTTTTTTTCCTCTGCATTCAGGAACTCCATGCCCCACAGTGGTGTAGGCACCAGAAGTTCAGAATGTTAGTGTGGGGTTAACAGAGGCTCTTCCTTCCATTAATTGGCCTAGCTCGCTAAGTCAGCAGCTGCAGCTCACTCCACACAGGAATCCCTCTGCTTTCCTGCACATGAAGCATCATCTCTGTCCCTGTGCTCCTGCCTAAAGCCTCCGCTGCTGCCCACTGCTGGGCCAGGACCCCGGGCTACTCCTGCCTTTCGTCTCACCTCCTACAGCTGTTTTGTTTTACATACCTCTAAGTCACTGTTCCTGCTGTGCCTTCACCACTGCCCCAGAGAGGAGGGGGCCTGCTCTCATTTTCTTTCCTAGGATGTGTCGAGTCATGCAGCATCCCAGAAAAACCCCTCTGGGCCCTCTACCAGAAGATGAAGGATGAAAACAGTCTGTGACAGGGCTGGTGACTCGTGTTTGACCAGAAAAGTTCACGAGTCTGCTTAAAACTGACCAAGGAGGTATTTTTTCATGTTATTGAGCGATGCTGCCAACTACACCACACAGCCAAGGGGGAATAATGGAGTTACAGGGATCCGCTTTGTTAGTTAGTTTACAAAACCTATCAAGATGAGTAAAAAGAAAATAAGTGCTTTTGCAGTTGGAGAAATTGAGCCTGACACCCTACAGATCTTCCTAGACATCTCCTTAACACCCTCTTGCCCCTTCCAAAAGGAGCCCAGTTCAGCTTCTGCAGGTTGCTCTAAACAACAAAAAAAGTATTGTAAAGAAACACAAGTATTCTGCTTTAAAAGTACGTCATTTGCTTAGTGCAGCAACATAAGCTTTCCCTCTGTTTTTCTAAATGAGATGCAGCAGTGCCTGCTATGTTGATAAAGTTTAGGCTGATTCCTTACCCTGGTTCCCTGGGCAGAATCCCTACCCCGGATCTCCTCCAGCCATCACAGGGCTACTGGCAGTGAAGCAAAAGTACAATATTGTTCCTAATGGTATCCTTAGTACATTTAATCATACTTTGGCTCACTGCATGGCATACATTCCCTGCTCCTTTCGGCAGCTTTGTACACTGTACAATCTATATGTACCAAACATGAAGGAAAATATAAGGCACAAGGTTATAATAACAAGAAGAGAAAGCCATGATTTTCCCAGATTGTACAGAAACCAATAGAGTTGGTTGGGTCATCTTCTTTTCCATCCTCCCCCTCCCTGTTTTAAATGTTGCAATAATAACAATACATGTCCTTTGGATATTTTTTATAATGTATGTAAAAATCATTCCCCCAACAGGAAATCCAGTTTGCATATGGTTACGAGTTCTGTATTAAAGTGCTTCGCAGAAAAGTCACCTTGATAGTAAGTGCTCACAACAGCTGCGTCCACTGTAGCATGGTGGGCAGCTGAAATCAGCTTCGCTTTTCCTCGTCCCCATCATCACCACGCACCCCACCCCATGCCCCCCCAGTCCTACAGTCACTCAGTAACCTGAAGTAGTACCTAAAGTGCTTAGAATGCTGAATTTAAGATATGATTTTAAATGTAATTCTCATATACTCTTTTAATGTTGCTTCACAGTACCTTATGAAACTAAATGTTTTTTAAAATACTCCTTTCCAGTTCAGAAAAACACTTCAATACAGAGTAAGAATAGTCTTTAAATTTTCTCTCTTTTTCCAGCCATTTTATATTTGTCTTGAAGCACATAGTATCTATGTGGTCACCTCTCCCTGTTTCTATTCAGTAACCTATTAAACACCATTACAGCTTTATTTTGTTTGCAGACATAATTTTTTAAAAAAATCAGTTTCAGCTATTAGTGCAATAGTATCATCATGATTCCACCCATCTTGGAGACCTACACAAGAAAAAATGTCAATACAGGCAAAAAAAGTCAAAAAAATTAGTCTTTTCTCTGCCTTTCACTGACCTCATTAGGCACTAAGGCAAAGGGAGGGGTAGTTGAGAAAATAATTAGACCTCAAAACTGATGTGCACAGATTTTACACCTCATGCAAACCCCCTTACTCAGGGCAGGTTAGCGGGGAGGACACTGACTAACGGAGGAGGAGTCCCCACCTCTGGGCCTACAAGACTCCAACGCTAACGCCAAGGCTCCCAGGTTGGGAAGGTTACAAGAGATCCTGTGTGTTTTAATACAAAATTATTACAGCTTTCCCGGAAAGGTTACCAATCGACATGTGCTTAGTACTATGCCTTCAGCCAGGCTGTGTTCCCTCTCTCTCCCGCTTCTAATCCCGGCTTTCGCGTAGGACGTAGGCGAGGCCGTGCTTCCCCGAGGAGTCGTAACTGTCATGGTAGGGGAGGCTGACCCACTCGGGCGGGTACGTCGCCGTGCTGTAGACGAAGCACTCCACGACGCCGGCGGCGGCTGCCCGCACCTCGCCCGCAGCCCCCTTCCCTTCCCACTCCACCACCTCGATCCTCATCAGGGTGCGCTGGTACATGTCTGGGCAGCATTCAAACTCATCCAGGAACTGCAGCATCTGGTCGTCGACCGAGTAAATCTCTCCGGCAACGTGGTGTCCCGTCCCCGGGATGTTCAGCATGTAAGGGATGTTGTATTTCCCGGCAATCACCAGCGGGTACTTCTCAGCCGTGCGGCCCCTTCCTTGAAATTTCGCGAGCCCTTTGGCCGTGTTGATCATGTGCTTGTAGTTGGGCTGGCCTTTCTTCAGCGTGCCATAGACGAAGACACGAGCCATCGTACCTGCAAAAGCAGCTGAAAGACAAGACATTACACACTTTGGCTGCTTTGGCCACTGTGCCCACGGGAAGACTCTTCACGCACATGCAAAAGTGGTCTCGTAGTCCTACACCTCGTTTTAAAAATCATACTAAGCTCCAGTATCTCTTCAAACTTCTCATTCAAAAACTGTAACAGTGAAAACCAGATACCAGGGGAAAGTCACCCTTGCAGGTCTTTACTGTAATCAAATTACAGACCATGGTTTCTCTAACAAATGCCCAGCATAAGCCAATGTGTCCCTCAGCCTCAGAAAAAGCTCCAAACCTCTTTCTTTTTTCCTTCTCACCATTACGTGCTGCAGTTAAGTGTGGTGTCACACTCAAGAACACCCCAAAAGCGACGCAGGAAGCTATCCCTGTGATAGGAACATGTTCCACTTAGCACATTTTTTATGTGAGTGAAGTAAAAAAAAGAAAAAAAATCATAGTTCAAGTCAGCTATGCAGACACCTATGCTGCTCTACTGCACTTACGGTTTAAGTAGCCCAGGTCAAGCACAGATATTACAACTTCCAGGAGTGAAGCCACATTTAGTTTGTTTTCCCGTGCTGGGGTAGTGGGGGGTGGTTTTTTAAAAGCCAGAACTGGTGGACCTGGTCACACACCACCTGGGACACCCAGTCTCACCACCTCCAGGTGGGGTCCAGTGGGTCCAGGAGACACACTTGCTGCCCTCGCACTTCTGCACAGGCTCTCCTTTCACCGTGGCTGTACTCAGTATTTGAGAAACAACCTTTTTATTCAGTGACAGAAGAGCCTGATGCAGTTTGAAAGTTGAGTGTCTTCCTGTTTCACAGTAAACTAAAGCACAGGGGCATTAATTAATCAGAAAGCAAATTAAGGCGTTCGAACTTCTGGTCCCATTGTGCTGCAGCTGCATGCATTTGGCGGTGTGGGTTTTTTTTTTCTTTTTTTCCAAGATAATCAGTCTTAATAAAAAAAAGGGAAAAGAAAAACAAGCAGCACGATGCTTGTAGCTGCAGCAAGCTAACTATGTACAAACTGGGACATCACCGAGACAAACAGAGGACCCGTCTGTCACAGAGAGGGATGAAAAGGCTTTCATGCCAGCCCTTACAAGCACAATGAGGCCAGGCCAGCACGGCAGCGGCGCAAGTTTAACCAACCTGGCATTGAGTCACTTCAGGGACACACTAAAGGATTTTTCAGTAACCCCAGCACCGAGGTCCTGCTTGCTGACTGACCGAGAAGGGCTGAAGAGCAAGCTGCAACTGCGGGGAGAGAAGTGGAGTGGCCAGCAGCAACCACATCTCAAGCGAGTGGGTGCTGTCTGGAAGGACACGTCTGTCCTGCTCCTTCAGAGGAAGGGAATGATGATGGCTTTCCTCTGCGCTGCTGATAAACTTTAGGTGACAAACCTCATTTTTGGAGCCACTGAGGCCCATGATTGCAGCCTTCATTAGCACCTTCACCCTTCCTGTTAGAGGGAACTGTACAAATGCTGTTTCTGTTTATTTATGGGAGGTAGGTGGCCCTAAGAAAAGTG